CACCACTCACCTGGTCCTGGCACTCCGCAGGCACTTCCCCACTTTGCACGGAGTCACCAAACAGTTTCTTCTGGGGGGAACGGTGTGTCAGAAGTCAAAATGTTTTGATGGTTTCTAAATAAAGCATTTCAAATACTCCTATCAGAGTAATATTTCATCCCCAGCCTTTGCTTGATTTTGTTTTAGAGAAGCAAAATCATTCTCTTTTATTTTTTTCCTTTCAAAATGCTCCCAGTACTAGTTTTAGAACAAATATTTTAAAACCTATAAATAAACCTATAATGCAAACAGCTCTGCTTTGGTTTGCCACACTGCTGGGTAGGCTGTCATGAACACGCTCTTACACCCAGTCCATAGTCTGCTGCGGAACCTTCAGGTAATAACAGAGTTAAAAAAAACAACAGAAGTGACGGTATTACTGACTATTGAACAATGCTTTTGAGTATCAAAAATAAGAGACAAAAAGAAGCGGACTTTTCTAGGAAGGAAAATGACATGTCGTTCCAAGGCCACCATCGTAAACATAAATTTGAATGCCAGATCGGAGCCCTGAGGCCAAGATCCGATCCCTGATCACCTTCCTCAGCAGGATGCTTGCAGGGCTTCCTTTGCTTGTAATAACGAAGTCACCAGCATATTTAACTGCAATACTAGAGATGTGATTTCTGACAGAATGTCACTCTCATATTGCTACGTCTTTCACTAGTTCTCTTTTTTCTTCTTTCTGTGCGGGTCAAGACTTTACATTCTTGAAAGTTTTTCTCCCTTTCTCCTGAAGGCAATAGCGAGAAGGAGCAGTTACCATCACAACACTTTTTTCTGGACCTTAGCAGGTGTGAAATATTCTCCTTATAGTCTAGTGTAACCTGTTAAACGTTTTGTGGAGGTTTTTGATAGATCTTCGTATAATCACATTAATGATACATTGTTCCTTTCTCTTTTTTTTCCTCTTTATCCCCCCCCCCCCCCCCCTTTTTCTCATTACAGTTGAAACTATAGAGGAAAAACCAGCAGACTCCTTGCAAGATTTGTACAGAGCCTTGGAGCAGGCCAGCCTGTCTCCTTTAGGAGAACACCGGATTTCCACTAAGCTGGAGTATAAGAAATCTTTTATAAAGAGATGTAGCGACCCAGTAGTCAATGAAAAACTGCACCAGCTGCGAATTCTGAAAAGCACTTTAAAGGTGAGATAAAAGAGGGAGGAAAAATCCTGCCCCAGGGTTGGATCAGACTGTATTGTGTTCGGAGATTAATTGTGCACAGCTGGAGTCCAGGCTGAGCCCGGTGTGCGGAACAAGGGAGATGTGGGGAAACGCCGGTCGCAAAGCAGAGAAAAATGCACCTTAGGAGAGCAGTCGAAGTGAGGGGATCAGTTTTTATTTCTGTGCAGATAAAATCTCGGTCAGCTGCTCCTCCTCTAGCTAGTTTAACAGAATTTGACACCAAATTATCGGAGGAAACCTTAATCCCTTTTTTGTCCCTGAACATTTTCATTTACCAAAACGTATTCACTCTGTAATTGCCGAAGTCTAAAGTTAAGCAAAGCCAGCCTTTTGGGAGGGAGCTGTACCTTTTGCAACACTTGATTATTTTCTGATTGCCGGGCTTGTCCACGAGGAAACTGTGTGTTTGCTTTCTGCATAAGCTGGTAGGGTCATTGTATTTAGTCAGTAGGACTGATCAAATAAATAGATAGCGGTAATGACAGATTTGAAGATTTTTATGGTTATTCTACATGTACCACAGCTCATTTAGCCTCCGTGTCAGCTGCTTTGTTTGTTACAGCAGTTTCAATTCTGTCCTGATAAGAGATTTCAGCAAACAACATGCTGGATTTCCCCAGGGACCCTGTTAACTGTATTAAATTACCACATTTTAAGTCGCTAGATAATTGTACAGTGGATTTTGTAACAGCTTTCATCAAAGAGGGCTTTATCAACATTAATTAATTTAGTTTTCCATCACCTAGAGAAGCATTTAAGCAGTATTATTTTCATGCTGTGGGGCTCCCATCCCGAAAAAAATCTTACGCATGCTTAACTTTCTGCACTGTATCATCTCATTGAAGGCAACTACTAGTAGTATTATCTGGGTATGTGAGTCTTTACAGGATTGGAAGCTGGCCGAAAAAGTCAAGATACACGGGCTTTCCACACGACTTCTACAAGTGTGAGAAACTGAAACTAAATCACAGCACTCAGACATGTCGAGGTGGCAGGAGGTTCACAGTGTATCTGTACTTCTGCACCATGGCAGGATCACTCATACCAAAACTGTGGTTCAGTATCAGCAGCTTGCTGCTATCTGTAATTTTCTTTCCCGTTAGCATTTATTGATACCTGAGCTACATTATGCCAATGGCTTCCTCCAAATGGAATTGCTTTCCCCCAGGGAATTCGAAGAACAGCGCAACCTCTTGACCCAGCAGATGCCCATTTTCTTTTGGACCAACCAAACACAGTTTGTTCATTCTCTGTCCGTGAGCCATATTTTCTAAACCTGTCACCATTCTTGTTTGGACCTTGATTAGTATAAATCATTCTTAATAGTACATGACACCAATAATTGAAAATGCAATGGCAGCAAGTACCAAAGACAGGTAATTGCTGTTTCTTGCATAGAGTGACACGTGCCTGTTTTGCAATGGCATCATGGTAACTCATGACAAGTTTCTAGCTCCGTTATAGCCCAGAGCTCCACCTCTGCCATACTACTGGTAGTGGTATCTACTGGTAGCTACTGCTGTTAGCTAATCAGTTATTCTTTCTTTTCATCAGTGCTTTTGATTTCTCCTGCCTGAATGCAGCCAGTTGTGCTGGCCTGTTGGAGGTGGTGTTCTGAACTCTCCTTGAATTTATCCAAATTAACAGTAGTCTGGGACAGCCCTCCAAACTGCTTCTAGCTCTTGTTGTCCATAGGCTCTCTGTCCCGTCATCTAAGTCCTTAATGAAGGACCCGTCTGCTCTCTTCCCTGGGACACAACACAAAACTGTTCTTCCACCAGTGAGTACGAGCTGCCTGGCCGGCGGTGCAGAGGTGTGGGTGCCAGCCGCAGTCTGCGAGGAGCAGGTTATGGTAGTTCAGGCAGAGATATGGTAACTGGGAGTTCCCATGGTTCAATTTCCACTGGTCATTCTCAGCTTGCACCTCTGTTTCTGAGAATGAGTATTCTGGCAGACAGTGTTAGTTACCTGCTGTTTGCAAAGCATGAAAAATACCTTTCAGCCTACTGCTTGTGGGTGACATCGCTGACCCTTCTGATCCTTTCCCATTAATGTGGGCTGACACAGCTTAATATTTCCCTTTAACATGCTCCCCAGAAAGATTTCACATACTCGTAGTATGGACGTGGAAAATGTGAGTTAGCGATGAGGAGTGTGAAAGCCGTCTGGCAGGGAGGATAGAGGGGAGATTGCTGGTGACCGTACCGTTCCTACGCAGAGGAGGAGTGCTGGAAACCTGCGTGTTAGCTGTGTTTCCAAGGCCTCTCTCTGCTGCATCCAGCCTCCACCGCTTGCAACAGCCACGAGTGGCTACTTGTCTATCTGAGGCTTACTCTGAGCCGTACCAGCTGCTTGGCATCTCTTGATAAACTAATCACTGGCCAGTAATTATGATATAGCCACATCCCCTGCCTCAGTGATGGGTAAGAAGGTACCAGTAGCTGTGTTAGATTTTACCCTTTTCTGTCTTCTCTTTGCCACAGCAGTGGTAGGAGGAGGTTGGAGCCAGCCAGCCCATCGCATGCACTGGATCTTTAATGAAGATGAGTTATTAACGTGGGGCCCTTGCACAAGCCCTTGCAATGTAGCACTCAGATGTCCCCACAACAAGCCTGGTAAAAAAGGTTTAGCTCTGCCGGCGGGCGGGAGGCCATCTGTCTGCATCCCACGCAGCATTTCTTGTGCTGATCAAGAAGAGCAAACAGATGGCACTTCGTCGTGTGAAACCCATCTCGAGAAACACAAGCAGCTGATAGTAAACAGTACAGGGCTTGCTTTTTCTTGAGCTGTTCAAGGGGCAATGGGGCCTGTTTCCAGGGATGCTGGGCAAGGCGAGGGAAGCCCTGGTCCCGCAGGGTGACGCACGGCACCCTGTAGGAAGGGCTCTGTCTGCGAGCAGGCGTACGGCAGCCAGATAGGGCCCTGCTCGCAGGGGCTCCATCGCTTGCGTTTGCTCCCCCTGTTCTCTCCTGCCACCCACGTGGGGGATTTTGCCAGTGACTCGTCACTCACAGACTGACTGTGCTTCTTCCTTTTCTTTCACAGGCCAGGGAAGGAGAAGTAGCCATTATAGATAAAGTTCTGGATAATCAAGCTTTGACGTCTAGAGACTTTCAAGAATGGAAACAAATGTACCTTGAGCTCTTCATGGACATCTATCAAAGCAGCACCCCGAGGGACTCTCTTAATGGCTCCTCTGAGGCTGACGCACTCATAGCCTCCTTAGCGCACACTCACTCGTACATTGAAACGCATGTATAAAGGTCTCTCATTTTGTCCATTTGCTACACTCCAGCCCTTTACTTAAGTGCATAAAGTAGTTTTTATATCAGTATGTGGGAGCTCTAGTAAATTATATTTTAATGTTACTCAGCTGTGTGAAGTAAACCTTCAATGGTCGACAATACCACATCTTTAATGAGGATTTGTATAGTTTATATGCTACTGATGCTCCGCTTGAGTTTACCTTCTGTGAAATAACAAACATGATCTTTAGCTATTAAAGAAAAGTATTTAAAAGCATTTTTGGAAGACTGTGGCCTTCCTGCAGGAAGTTCCACAAGCTAAAGGTTTTGTTATCGAAGGTCACTTTTACAATGAAATTTTGTATTGTATAATTGAGTATTGCATTGCATTTTTGGAGTGCAGGTACTATTTTGGTGGTGGGAGAAAATGAATTTTTATATTTAATGAGAAACTCTAGGAGTTTTCTTTAATAACAGGGAAAAAATGTAATGCAGTGGTTGTGTTTCAGTTTTGTCAAACACACAAAAGGGTGAAAATCAGCAGACAGAAATGACTAATGTGAATTTAAGTATCAAAAGGTTAGGTCTTATTTCCTTAGGCTTTTTTAAAGCCTGTTGCTAAGGTTTACCATCAGTGCAAAGGGATGCTGGTTTGTGTTCTAATTAAGACCAAATTATGTGTTATTTGTCTCTTAATCACATTTGGTTGATTTTTTTAAAAATTAGTCATGGTACTGTCATTTATGCTGCTTTTGCACTGAAGGTATCAGTATAATGTGCAGGTTTTGCAAAAGAGAAAATGCAGACTTTGAACGTCCTTGATAGCGGTGTTTCTCTTGCCCAGAGAAGCAGTGGTGGAAAAGGTTCCCAATGAAATGCTCCAAAACTGAATGGCTTTGAAAGTTCTCGCAATAGAAAATGAATTAATAGGATTTTTCAAGTAGTGTCCTATGTGTTGTCTGAGCTGTGAAATTTGGCCATATTGTGTGCAGGGAAAACGTGTGATGGGAGCAGAGCTGGGCACAGAAGCTGAAAAATGACGGAGGAGTAAAAAAGCCTCTGGTTTGCTTTTGAAGGGGGAAGGATGTCTCTGGGTTCTGCAGAGTTCACAAGCCAATTGAAATGTTTTAAACTTCCATGAGATTTGAGATGTGCTGGAGACAACCCAGGCAATATGGGTAGAAGTAGTTCCTTAGCATTGGGCACATACCTGGAACAGGAAAGTGGGAGGGAAATCTTAAATCACGTAGTTACTTTTCATGGGCTTGTTTTCAAAAAGTGATCAGAGCATGACAAAATATTTCTGGTGCTTTTCAGTATTTTGCTGCATAAGTTGGGACAACGACATGATTTAATAATGCTCATGTGAAAGGGAAAAGCCTCCTTGATAATTTTTACAGCGAGTTGTACTCTTCACCAACTTCAGACTATTGCCTGTACAGCTCAGTGAATGTACTTTAAACTTTTTGAGCTCTGATATTTCCTGGCAGTTATATCCATGAAGGTATGAAGGAAAGAATGGACAGATTTATTTTCTCTCTCCTTCTTTCTTTCTTTTTATTCCTCTCTCTTTCTCTCCCTCTTTTTTCTCTCTTTCTCCCCTTTCTCTCTTTCTTTTTCTCTTTCTCCCTCTCTTTCTTTCTTGTTATTTTATTGCATTTGGATTGCAAATGTTTTGCAGATTTTGCACAATTGTACAGAAGAGTGGCCTTTCTGTAGCTCATTTTCAGTAATCAACTATATTCAAGTTGATATGGATGACAAATCATGTATTAACGTTTGTATAGAACTCTGGATCCAGTGTAACATTTGTACCATTAGAAGAATATTGTTTGTATAAACTGGACGTTTATTTACTGCATGGGTACTGACTTGTATATTAAATTTGTGAGGTTTTTGTAAATTTCTCTTAAAAAATGCTTGACTTGAAATGGATTGTGCTATTGTTCCAAGCATTTAGATTCTCTTGCTATTGTTTTACTGGACCAAAAGTAAATATATTCATATACAAAACTCTTTATATCTGATGGATGTATATGCACATTATGTAGTTGATTCCTTGTCAAAACCAAGGCAGTTCAGAAGACTTAGATCTGTTGCTATGCAACAGCTATTCTGCCTGCACTTTACATTAGTAAAGTCAGCTCGATTGCTTTAAAGGTGAAAATGAAACATTACGGTTTTTTAAGCTAGTCTAGTGACAAAGAACATGTGTCCTCTCCATTGTGCTGCCTTCTTTTGAAACTATTAAATGTTCTTCTATATATATTTTTATTGTATTAACTCTCAGCCTAGAAAGGGAACACTGTAAAATTAAGTACAATAAATTTAGCTTTTAAATGAATGTTTGTGACTCGAGATTCAATTTACTCCATACCAAAATGATTTTGCAGCATTTGACCATTTTGCCTGCATTTCACAGATCCACGTACCTTAAAGTACCCCCATCGTCTGTGCCATCAAACTCTGCCAATGCGGCCAAAAAGAAGGAAGACTATTGCCATTTGGTATGTAGGCAGACACTGTATAAAGATTTCTGAAAACCTTCAGTTATCTCCCTCCCCATGTTACTCTGTGATGAAAGTAAACCTTTTTTGACTGCAGGATTCTCTCATGTACCAGTTCAACAGCTATGAACAATTTTACTGTTACAAGCAGGTGCGACAAAGCAGCATATGCTACCAAGGTAGGTATCAAGGCATTAGTTACAGCAACTCCTGTAATGTGTTTCTTAGAGTCTAATAATAAGTATAACCGGTCAGCTCTGGCCATCTAAACTAACACAAGGTTTGGATACAAAGAAATGTACTGTACCGGTATTGTGTGTCTTTAAAATAATGCAAAATAAGCATCTGAAAGGCATGCTACAGCAAAGGCTGCTCAGAGAGAAATGGCTTCTATGAAACAGCCACTGTTTTAACTTACGGCCATAATTGAGTCTACATATCAAAAAATACGTGCTTTCTGTCCAGTAATTGCATGCTGGTGAGCTAAGACATTCTTGCCTAGTATGTAGCATATCAAATAATACCTTTTCCTTTGCAGTCCTTATTATTAGTTCTTGTAGGCATCAATTTTCTAGTCTTTACACAACTCACTTTCATTTTGCTTAGCCATAGCACAAAAATTCCATAGCACTTACCAGCTGGGAAAATTACCTCTGATTAAGAAAACAGAAAAGATTAATTATATTTTTTAACCTTTGAAAAATCCGTCTTGCAACACCTATTAATTGCTATCTAGGTATTATTCTTCAAAAGACAAGGATTACGATTCTCACTCGTCTCCTCTAAACACGCTACTTGCTGCATCCTTCCTCAGTGAGATCAGCTTCCAGCTCGAGGAATCCCAGCACCTGTTCCCGTGCTGGAGCCAGACTTTCTTGCCTGTTTCCACCAAGCATTTGGCTTATCGAAGTGAAACCTCCACACTATCAGGTTCAGTGCCACTGTCATTTTCTTCTTCTCCAGGACCGCCCTGCGGGCGCGTCTCCTCGGATGGGTGTTCCCCCGCGTGTGCGCTCAGCAGTTCGGCGGCCTCTTCTGCTGGCTGTCGCTGTCCTGCTCATCGCCCAGTTCGGAGAGCTGCATCACCGCGCACTGCAGCCCACACCAAGGCAAGGGGGCTTTGCAGATCTCTTCCCAGCCGTCGTTGTCGATGTCGTAGCCAACCACGTCTTGCGTGGGGACTTCCCGTGAGTTTTGCCATTTCTTTCCCCCGATGAGAAGAGCCGTTTCCTCTACCACTGCCAGGCCATAGCAAAATCGATCATAAATCAGTGGTCTTAACCGAGTCCATTGGTTTTGATCAGGATCATATCTTTCTATTTCAGAGAATGGTTCATATAATCCTAAAAAGGTGAATATGGCTTCTCTGATTGTTGCCATCTGATGCCCAAACCGAGCAATGCTCATGGGGGCTTGCTTCATCCACTGCCCCTCAGGCGAGCTGAGAGAGTATACGTCCTTGCTTGTGTTGGCTGGGTCTGAGTACTTGCCGCCCGAGATGTAGATCGTATTCTTGCAAATGGCACTGGCGTGGCCATGTATCTTGCACGGCAATTCCCTGACCTTTGTCCATCTGTCCCGGCTTATGTTGTAGACTTCCACAGACGAATGCAGCGACCCATCCTCACCCCTTCCACCAATGGCAAAGATATCCTTGCCTAGGACACAACAAGAAAACTGGCATCTCTTTTCCAGCATGCCCGTGATTTGGGTCCATGTGTTAAATCTCGGATCATAACGATGGACCTTGTTTGTAACCGATAAGATCTTTTCGGTTTTAGCATCGCCCAGGGCACCACTTTCTATTTCCCCACCCAAGACGTAGAGGAAGTTCCCCACCACGCACACACTGTGGTTCTGCACCCTGTCCCGCACCTGTGTGAGAGCTCGCCACTTGTGATTGTAAACGTCGAAGGCCACCACGTCGGTGACCAGCCCCTCGCTGGCTGTCCCTCCGCCCAGCAGAATGATCCGAGTTTTCTGGTTCCTCAGCGTGGTGGACTTATCCTGCAGGACAGGCTGTTTGAAAATGGATGTATGGTAATTAATTGCTTTAATGATCAAGCACTTAATACCTGCGGAGAGGGGCACTTCTGACTGTGTGTAGGTTTTTCTCAGCTCTTCCACCGGGATGAGGCCGTATCTTATGTGCTCTAAAAGGCTGTTTGTGTGAGCCAGCCTGGATTTATCCTGCTTCAACCACAGCAGCACAAGATTCAACAGGCGGGTTTCTTTCACAGTGGGGAGATCTGGTGATTGAACCACCGCTAGCAAAGACCTGAAGTTCAGCTCGAGCACTCCTGGCAAATCCAAGTCCATCAGCTTTGAGAGATTATTGACAATGTATTTTTCTGTTGCTGCTAAGGCATCCGGCAGGTAGAATTTCCTGGCCACGTTGGCGGAGAAGCAGCAGTTTTCCAAGGAAAGATTGTTAACTAAGTACTGGTTGCACAAGCCGATAGCATCAGTCACTTGCAAGTAGCTTGCAGCCTCCAAGGTGTCCTCCAGG